CCTGTTCGTGCTGTACCGGGCGTAACTGTATATGTTGAACATAATCAGGCATAGTCTTGTGAAAAACACTAACCAGTAACTAAAACAGCTAATGCTCATCGTCCGCGTCTTGCAAAGATTGTAAAGGAAACATGCACACGGAAGAAGTTAGAAATTCTGCAGCATCCAGTCTTTTTTCCTGATATGTTACCGTGTGATTTTCAGATGTTTGCACCATTTTTTTAAATCTATCAATTTGAAACAGTTTTACACAGATACAAACGCAATAAAGGCGGAAAACGATTGGTTCAGTGAGCAACCACAATCCTTTTTTGTTTTGCGGATGACATTCGTCGCCTACCTAAGCAATGGTATGATTCCATAGCTACCTACAACGACCTTTCTGACCAATCCGGAATTTATTCAAAATGAATGCTTGGTTTAATTCTACCACATCTGTTGATGTTTCACTCATACTTTTGTAATAAAGCCACTGAAACACATTTGAAGCAAACACTCATCACATTATTTCTCTGTATCATTTATGGGGCCGAGGGTAGCAGTAACTGAATCCCCTAGACATAAAGTATCTGATCAAATCGAGTGTCATTGGACAAGAGTGAAACGAAAGTGTGTAAAGTAACTAGTTTTTTTTTTTTTTTTTTTTTTGGGGTCAAATATCCAAAAACTATGAGTTTTTAACCCTTTGGCTCGGTAGTATGGATATCGCAACCCTTCGGCCTTGATTCCACGATAGGTACCGTAAATCTGGGAAAAAATGTGGCTTTTCTGCCTACTCACAGGAGTGAACCCGGACCACAAGGAGTTCGTCACCCGGTCACCGCGATGTCAGCTTTAACCAACTACGCTAGAGAGCCGGGCTACTAGTTGATTAAAACTGTGACCCATTGTATATACAATTGCTTAATTATACTTTCATAATGCTCAACTGGAAATGAACAACTCACAAATGTGGTTATGTAGTTGGTTGGTCAAGTTCCAGCAGGTCCCAACATAACTACTGCTCAGTTCGCGTACATGCAAAACCACACAAAACGCTCATCATTGTCCAAGGTGAAAGTGAAACAGGCAACAGTCCCAGATAAACTAAGCGCTAGAACAATAATCACATGTATAAGGCAGTCGCCAGAGGTGCCCCCCCCCCCCCCCCAAAAAAAAAAAAAAAAAAAAAACACCAAACATTCTCCAATGTAATTGCAGGTCATCGTAAACTGTACTGATGGGATTTCCTAAAAGGGTTCCCTATATGACACAGTAGGGAGAAGGGTAGATCAAGTGAGTAGAACCTAGGATGGTAACTAACTCTTCCTAATTCCCGTGTTTGACTGCACTGTTAAAATGTGACCACCCGTGGAAATGGGAGAGAGGTTTGAAGGTGAGAGAGGAGTTGAAGTTGGTGTTTTACAGCCGGAGTGAATGGTCCAGTTCTGCGAGAGGTATGACTGCTACGAAGTTTAACTGACTATTGAGTGAAGAGGTTCCTGATTCTCAAGAGTGAATGCTTGAGGAGAAGCTATCTTGATTACTACCCTGAACGACTGATAAGGATTGTAGCGCTGTGTTGGAGATGCAAGTCCTTCGCCTATCCTTCTCATAAATAGAACCACAGTAATGCAAGGTAACAGAGTTTGGACACCGTGTGCTTGTAATGTAACCAGTGAAGTTTGATCCTACGGCGACAAGAGAGATTAAAAGACACCGAAAAGATAGTATTGTTGTATCTACAATAAAGAGAAGAAACTGTCAATTGGTGTCACGTCAATATATCTGTGTCTTTACCATTCCATCCACAATACATCTGTAACTCTAACGCTCTAACTAGAACATAAAGAAAGCAACATTGCATAGACGAATGCAGCAGTCACGACAGACTAAGAGCTCGAACAATTATCAAATATATTAGACGGTTGCCAGAGGTACAAAAACCAACAGTTCACCAGTATAATTGCAAGTCATCGTCCACGAAAGCAAGTCACACCAAACTAATCAGTACCATTGTCACTTTGTTGTTATTGCTGTTGTTGTTAAATGCAACCATGTGGCGTCGGGATACATCTTCCAATAATATCTGTATTTGTAACACGTCATTTTATGTATTGTTTGACATGCACTCAGATTAACAATTGTGTAAATGTAGACAAAAAAGTTATACTCTGGGTGCAGTAAAACAGAGGCAAACTATTTTTATGGCAAGCTGCCTTATGCAGGCACGGTAATTTTTAGAGTAAAATTTATGAACGCTCGCAATTAACAGTAATCTAATGAAAATAAACATGGAGGACTTTTGATGAAAATACGTCAGTTCCGAGTAAAGGGAAGAAATCTAGCCCACTGGATCGAGACTGCGAGACAAACTATGGGGCACCCGTGGAGACCTCAAGAGCACTGTCCTGTTTGTGGTCTAGACTGTTAGACAGACGTATCAAGCGTCGATCGCGGAATAAGAAGTTATTGCTCAAATAAGTGTATACATAACTGTATGCATATGTCAGAAGAAGGCGTGAGAATTTCATGGACTATAGCAACCACTGAGTGTATTTACTTAAACAATTCCACAGACTATTTCCTGGCGGTCTGTTAAAAATGCCCGCCCAATGAAATAGCAGCTACAGTGGAAACCAAATAGGGAAATCAATTTCACGTAACTGCAGATCTTTGTCTCTCAAAAACAACGCTTAGACCACGTATATAAGATTTTCTGACCTTTAAGCATGTAGATGTCGCATCAGTAGAAAAATGTAGTTCTATAATATTGTATTTAATAAATAAAATTGTATGTATATTTGTATATGATTCTGTCTTCATAGCTCTAACTAGTCTGCGAAATATTTCTCATATTTTCCGAGACCACAGATTTTTTTAAACAAACAAAAGTTGGAAAGATGCAAAAACAACAGATTGTGGCGTCATACGATACGCAGAGAAATGAGTCCAAAACGTTCTTACAATACTTGAGTTTGCTGCAAAGTCTAGCATCTGAAACATACATGTAAAGAACGGACTGACTGTTTTCACACTCCAAGTTGTATCCCGGATGCCAAACCTACAGGACAAACTAGAGATACCACATTCAACCTCCAAGAAAGTTATAAACATGTAACGTTTGAGGAGCAGATGGCCGAATGGTTAAGAATACTGGCCACGCATGTGGGAGACCCAGGTTCAAATCCTTGGTAAGGCTGTGGATTATTTGTTTCTGTCACCTGTTAGTATTCACTGTTCAATGTTGATTATGATTATGTATATTTTATACAGAGTCGTAAGTGTGCTTTTACAACAACAGTTGGCAACCCTAGTTTAAAGACGCTTTCTCTGTAGAAAATTTTTTTTATCATACTTCCGTGTGTGACAATCGCGGCGGATGACTTCATTTATAACAATCATAATAACTAATTAAAATATTAGTTGTAAATGACAGGGTAACACAAACACGAACCTTCCGGTGCATTAAGGCGATTCCGCAAAGAAAGCGTAGCGAAAAGGTTCAGAAAATTGTTTGAAATTAGCTGTTATTACCAAAATACAAACCAATAGAATTCTAATCACTGTAAAAATTTAAAATAATTTGTTATAATTATACGTTTATGGCTATTTATGCTAACAGAAAAAGGAATGTTATGGATTTTTTTTTCCTTGCAAGCGTTCATTAAACTGACGACGTACAAACCGTGTCATTATGAGGGATTTGATATTTTGTCTTGCTCTTTGACCCTGTTATTTGTCTGTGGTGTAATGTGCCGGAGGCTACATAACTTGTAGATTTATTTTGGAATAAGGGCATAGAACTACTCAGACCATACTTTAAAAAACTGAAAATTATTCTTTTCGAAACTCTACTTATTCTAAGCCTAACTTTTTTTTAATGGCACCGATTCTTTAAATTTTTTGAGAAAATGAAGCTTTCAAAAACCAAAGTAAGATCTAAAGGAATGTCATAAAATCAATATTTTTAGAAACTACTTATAATTTTTTTTTTATTTACAACCATTAACGGTGCGTTAATTTAGAGGCTTTAACTTTCAGTTCAAAAAGATTTGGCTGGTGTGCGGTTACATCCAATTTTCTTTCCAGTTACTCGCACTGAAGTATGACTTATAAACATGACTACTGCAATATAAACTTGTTTTTTTAGACAACGTACTTTAGGCAAAAATGGAACAAATCGTACTTATCTTGGCCATTTTGGCCGAACGAGTGGCTATGTACGGAATTAGCGTTTTCGGAAATCATTGGCAACTCTATCAATATTATAGTTCTCAGCCGTCATGGCTTCGAAGAAACGACAAATATAACCCTCGTTTCGCTGTAGGTTTACAGATCTGTGCTTTCTGTATAGTACTTCCTGCCACGAGACTCGGCAGCACGATCAGCCATTTTGACGAACTTCTAGCCACAAGCTTATAAATACCTAAAGTAACATCACAAGAAGTGTAGCCGAAACCAATACTTTTAAAATTTACTTATGTATTTTATTTTTTGGAATTTCATATACGTATTACCCGTGCCATAATTTAGGGAGTTTAACTTTCAGTTCCGGAAGATTTAGCCGGCGTGCGGTTATATCCCATTTCCATTTTAGTTACTCACACTAAAGTATGACTTTTAAACTTGACTACTGCAATATAAACTTCCAAGACTCGACAAATATCATCCTCGTATCGCTGTCGGTTTCGGATCTGTGCTTCTGCATCCTACTTCCGGTCACGAGACTCGGCAGCATGATCAGCCATTTTGACGAAGTTCTAGCCACAAGCTTATAAAAACTAAACATCAAAAGAAGTGTAGCCGAAATGAATACTTTTAAAATTACTTATGCATTTTTTTAAAAATTTTATATATTACCCGTGCCATAATTTAGGGAGTTTAACTTTCAGTTCTGGAAGATTTAGCCGGTGTGCGGTTATCTCCAATTTCCTTTTCAGTTACTGGCACTGAAGTATGACTTTAAAACTTTACTGCAATATGAACTTGTTTTTGTAGACAACTTACTTTGGGCAAAAATGGAACAAACCGTACTTATCTTGGCCATTTTGGTCGAACGAGTGGCTATGTACGGAATTAGCGTTTTCGGAATCATTGGCAACTCTATCAACATTGTAGTTCTCAACCGTCATGGCTTCCAAGACTCGACAAACATAATTCTCGTTTCGCTGTCGGTTTCGGATCTGTGCTTCTGCATCTTACTTCCGGTCACGAGACTCGGCAGCATGATCAGCCATTTTGACGAAGTCCTAGCCACAAGTGCACATACCTTTGTGACCGTCTTTTTCTTTATGCCAAAGTTTGTCTTTCTCGGGACTAGTTTTTGGTACGTCGCTTTGATCGCTGTAGAACGTTACACTGCAGTTTTCTTTCCATTCCACGTTTCCATAATTTTTACCAAAACACTGATCAAATGTCTCGTTACAGCCATATTTCTTGCCAGCGTCCTCACAATTTCCCCATCATTCTTCGCTTTGAATTACAAATTTGTTTATAACGTCAATTATAACCAGACCACTGCAGTAATCGTGTACACTAACTTTTATCGGAAACATCACAGCATCATAGACTTTTACGTATGGGTAGGACTCACAAATATCTTCTGCTCCATAAGCGCAATTGTAGTTTTATATTGTTGCGTGGCAATAGTATATCGACTTTCCCAAGCTTCGTCAAGACGCTTAAAGATGACATCTAACACAACAGGGTATGATATCAAAGTGGTGAAGATGCTTGTAACCGTCTGTATCATTTACCTGTGCGTTCAAATCCCGTTAATCGTCATGTATTCCTACTTTCGTCCGGATTTCATGTTTCGCACGCCAGTTCATCAATTGTTCAACGACATTTGCGATATTCTCTGCCTCGTCAATGCGTCGGCTAACTACATTGTTTATGTAACGATGTCGGCAAAGTTCGCTAGAAACTTACCGGGCGTTGATGGGATGCTCAGTGCCAAAGTAGATCAGATCGACAGTTGGATTATTCAGGCGGGATACGCTCATTCAAGAACCTACAGCGCAGAACCTGCAAGCGAGCTGAAGTAACAGATCATGCAACTTTCCTGTGGTAACTTATGGATTGAGTCGTCGATTCTTATTCAATCGGGGGGAGGGGGGGGGGAGTTAAATTAGAGCTTTGAAAACTGAAAATGCTACGGATAAACTTCTAAAATACCACAGGCCAAGAAGACGAAAAACACGGATATTCTGCATGTTTTGTGCACTGGGTAGTATTGGCACATAAACAACATCCTGTCCCGAAAGATAAGCTGTTTTGGCCTTGCTAAAGATCGTGGTGGCCTGGAGAGAGCGGTCACAGAGGGCACGGTTTCTGGAAATGAAGAAAGAGGCCGACCTCCACGGTTGTGGATACAGGGCATTGAAAATGTCACTGGTTCTGAAAGCACATAGGGCTGGAGAATTAGTAAAGGACCTCCTGACTGATAATAATGAAACCGGGTATCTGGCAGTTCCCCTGTTGCTATACCACCCGGGGTGAGATTCATGAAGTTTCATGTGCGATGACAGAAGTAGCCCTACTAAAACGAAGCATGTGCATATGCTGGTTAAGTTTGTTATGTCCTGTCCTGAGACGTGCGACAATAACCTGCCCATGCCGGTCAAGTAAGTGGTAGTCATCCCTGTCAGTCTCTGTTCACTTCTAATAGCCTGGATGGCCCATTTCTTTTCACAGTATATTACTATATTCTCTTCCTGGTCACATTCTGCCCCTTTCTTAGCAAGTTTATCTGCGGTTTCGTTTCCTGGTATACCACAGTGGGATGGCACCCACTGGGGTACAGTACACTTTTGGGCAGCCACCTTGCCAAGTTCAGATCTAAGGTGAGGGAGTTTGCCACTCTTGAGGGCTTGGAGCACTGATAGCGCATCTGTGAATATGACCACTTGGTGGCCGTCAGAACTGGTGTTGTGTAACATTTCGGCAGCCTGCTCTAGTGCTACGATCTCTGCTGTGTAGTTTGAACAGAATTTACCAGTGGGTCTCCACTTTATGTGGCGGTGGTTACCTGGGTATGTAATAAAGAACCCAGCACCCCCATTTTTAACCGCACGGGTTGCTGATCCATCTGAGTAAACATGTATCCATGACTGTTTGGGATAGTTTTCCTGAATCATGCTAAGAGCAGCTGTTCGTTTTTGAAGATCATTAGACTCATCTCCAGTAGTGAATCCATTGACTATAGTCATTATCTGTATTGTATCATTGACTTGCTCCCAGGGTATATGGTAGGTTTCAGTGGTGTTGTTCTAATAGGTAGATCTGCTTGATAATGTCTTTTCCCTCTGATGGACAAAGCTGCTATGTTTGGGACGCCCCAATGCCAGATCATCTAACCTTGCCATCTGGATCATAGTTTAAGTGTCTCTTCTATTGGATAATGTCTGTATTGCAGTTATTTTATGCATCTCCAGGATTGATGCAATTTTTATGGATCCTGTGATGACTCTAGGGGCTTGATTTTACACTCTGTCTAACGATTGTAGATGGGAATTTGCAGCTGTTGACCATGCTGTTGCACCAAACTCAAAGTGGGGTCTTATCGCTCCATCATAAACTATCTTTAGGTTTTTCACTTGCTCCCCATCTTCTACCTGCCAGTTTTATAAGTAGGCCTAGTTTACTCCTGGCCTTCCCTTCTACATGTTTGCTTCACGTGTGCCTTTTATCAAATGTTACTCCAAGATAAGTGGGGAAGCTTTCTTCCTTTAGCAAGGATGTTCCTAGGTGAATACTAGCAGCTTTGTCCCTGGGGGAAAGAGAGAAAAGCGTTGTGGATGTTTCGTCTGTTAATGGCAACATGCCACTTTTCTGCCAATGTCAGAGAGATCTGCTGCTCGCTGCATTCTTATATTTGCAACTGTGGTGTGTTTATCAATACACCAGAGTGTTAGATCATCTGTATACAGGGCAGCTTTTACTCTTGTAGGAAGGTCTTTCGCCAGGTCATTTATATAAACAAGAAAGAGAGTTGGCGAGATAACTCCTCCCTGTGGTACTCCTCGATGAAGCAACACTTTTCTGCTCTGCATGCCATCAAGACTGACTAGTTCTCCTGCTGTGTAAGAAGGATTTGATCCATTTTAGCATGTTTCCTTGGATTCAATTTCTCTTCAGTTTTGCAACGAGACCATCTTTCCAAACTTTGTCAAAAGCTTGTTTGAAGTCAACCCATATTACCAGGACCTTTTTCTTCTCTTGGAAGGCATCCTTTACAGCTGGTGACAGGTAGGTGACTTGGTCTTCTATGTTGTGACATTCCCTAAACCTAGTCTGCTCTGGCACCAAGATCTGCTCAGATTCTAAGTGAAATTTCAGTCTTAAATTTTCACTTCTTTCCTATTCAGCTCGTGAAACTAACTGGTCGATAGCTCAAAGTCTGGGTCTTAATTTTTCCTTTTTTTAAATATGGGTATCGTGATGGCTTCTCTCCATACTTGAGGCACTAAACCTTTCTCCCAGCTGATGTTGGAAATTTCCAGCAGCTTTACTTTAGCAGATGGGCTCAGGTTGATCAGCATTTCATTGCTGATTTCATCTGGACCTGCAGACGTTTTAAACTTAAGCCTGGAGATGGCGTTTTGTAGTTCACCCATGGTAAATGGCTCCCTCATAGAGGCAGAGGTATATGTCTGTCTCTTATTTGTCTGTATTTCTTTCCTTATTTCTCTCTGGGGGGTCCTCATTAAGGGTCAGGCTGCTTTCATCATTGTATGTCCTGGCAAAAAAATCTGCAGCATTTCTGAAGATTTTGTTACCATCACTCAGTGTGATTGATTGTCTAGGAGGGAAACTCTCTTCATTGAGTGATTTGGCTAATCTCTATAGAGTTTCTTGCCATCTTTCTCAAGGTTTAGAGCTGCTGTTTTATTTCTCCAGCATTTTCGTTTTTTTTTCACGTTTAATTCTCTGGAACACTGCTACAGCCTTTCTCCATTTGGTGTGGTTGTCAGGTGAAGGCTTGGATTCTGCATCCTTTCTAGCCTGATTCATTGTTAAGTATGACTATTCGTAGGAAAAAAAAAGATTTAAAAAAAAAACTCGTGTGAAGAGATAGCGGCTTCCCGGGGCGATGTGGCACACAGTTTATAAATCCATGCTGTACTGGATAAAATGGACTAGTTTTATTATAATTGAGTTAATTCCTTCAACAACAACAACCGACTGTAAACTCTGGCGGTAAGTTCTAACTCAAGTCTGAGTCGGAAGAAGCTCAGCACAGTACACATGCTCTGTAGCATCAGTGAGATCCTGAAATACTTTGCATAGATTTTTAACTCCAAATTTTGCCCAGGCAGCGCCATTAAGCTACTCTTTTCGATTTCCAAACGCCAAGGGATTTTTTGTGTGCGCAACAATGCCTACAGGCGTCGACCTCATTACCCAGAGACCAAAAGGAATTACTAGATGTTCAAGTCTACGTGAAAAAAATTCCAGCCCTTACCGGGGAATTAAACCCAAAACCTCTGGCACTCAAGGTGGACACCATGCTTTGAGACCACGCAGCTTCTCATGGGAACAATTAGTAGAGGAACCTTGGAATGTCTCCTGCATCGGCTGAACAGATGGGCCATGGGAGATACTGGAAGAGAAATTTAAAGACACATGGCTTGCCCTGATCCTAATGACAGCATTAGCCATTTAACAAGAAGGGACCAGGCCACCATCTTCAGACTTAAAACACAACATACACCACTCAATGGACACCTAAACAGAATACAGCCACAACACTCCCCAGAGTGCCAGCTATGTAACTACCCCTACGAAACTGTTGACCATCATCTCTTTGAGTGCCCAAAACGAGACTAGAAGAATGCTACTCCTTCCGAGACCAGACAAGTGGAACACATTGTACGGAGGAAAAGAACAGCTTGTGAAAACATGCAAATTCCACTACATGGCATTGGGCAAAAGCTCATGTGCCGCTGGATCAATAACAACAACAACTCCTGCATCGGAGACTTTGTACGCATGCGAATTCTTAAAGTGCAATGAC